TATATATATATATATATATATATATGTGTGTGTGTGTGTGTGTGTATATATGCGCCAAATTACCTGCGTTATACTTAAAGGTGGATGAATTGTATAGCCTGGATGTAATAGTTCTGATTTAGTTTTCTATAAACTTTGGTCCACTGTTTATAGTTAAGGGAACCATAACTGCAACATTGTTTACAATGCCAGACTGCAAGCTCTAGTGAACTTTTATGAGAAAAGTCTAGAACTCTGTCAGCATGATACACCACAACACCAAAATCCCAGGGTGTATTCAGTTTAAGACGACTAACGAGCCAGAACCTAATTTCGCCAGTCCTACATCTAAATGAGCTTGTCTCAGAAAAGAGATAAAACATGGCCAGGTGGATAAGGCGCTCGACTCACAATCTGAGGGTCGCGGGTTCGAATCCGCATCCCACCAAACATGCTCGCCCTTTCAGCCGTGGGGGCTTTATAATGTGACGGTCAATCCCACTATTCGTTGGTAAAAGAGTAGCCCAAGAGTTGGCGGTGGGTGGTGATGACTATCTGCCTTCCCTCTAGTCTTACACTGCTAAATTAGGGACGGCTAGCGCAGATAGCCCTCGTGTAGCTTTGCGCGAAATTCCAAAAACAAACAAACAAACAAGAGATAAAAATAGGGGGGGGGTCCCAATTACTCATGTAATACACATAAATTAAAACTCCTGTAACACAAGTTTGACATATTTATGATAATTAATTGAACAGGACGTACTGTATTTTTGTTTTGTAACTTATATTCTTTTATCCCTATGAATTTTATTAAGATATTTTAACATTTTCTTATTTTGAGTTGTCCTGTATTTATTCGTGATCTCGCCCTGATCGGCCCAGGACTCTTCAGGTTTTCGGTTTGTTTACTAGTAAGCGCAAAGCTACGCAATGGGCTTTTTGTGCTGTGCCCACACACAGACACACACAAAGGTATCGAAACCCGAATTTTAGCTTTCTAAAACCTCACACATACCGCTAAGTCACTCGAAAATGTTCTCGGGTAAGAAGTAATACACACGTAGACACATAAAGTCGCACGTTTCTAGAAATAAACTCAATGACTTTTTAATCCTCTTTCTAATTATATAAACACACACGAACACGTGTGTTTAAACAGGTGTAAAAACTACCACAGAAATTACTTATACAAAACAGAAACACACTCACTCTCCGACATGAGTGTAAACGTAACTTGGTTATTAAGTTATTCAGTATAAATCACTTTAATCAACTGAATTATCATGTAACTTAGTAAAATGCTACAAAACTCAAAAACAAATATTGTTTACTTGTTTAAGGTCACTTTAATTAGTATATAATATTAGAGGCCGATCTTTTAAACAAACATATATATATTCAAATAGGAAATTATAACATTTTATAATTAACTGGCTGTAGAAACCCTGAACTTTGACCTTATCAAAATTCGTTTAGCTTTTTCCCCACCCACATACGTACAGTCAAGTCGCTATAATGGTTTTATGTAGATTTAAAGATAACATACGATGTATGTATATATCGTTATTAAATATTCATTGCGTTTGTTAAATGGTCAAATGAACTGTGACGTATGTATAAATGTATGTACAGTAAATATCGTTATTAAATATTCATTGCGTTTGTTAAATGGTCAAATGAACTGTGACGTATGTATAAATGTATGTACAGTAAATATCGTTATTAAATATTCATTGCATTTGTTAAATGGTCAAATGAACTGTGACGTATGTATAAATGTATGTACAGTAAATATCGTTATT